TTTCCACTTCCAATTATTTGCTACTCATATATAGAAATACAATTATTTTTGCATATTGATCTTGTACCCTAGAACTTTGCTAAACTCACTTATTATTCTAGTACATTTTTTAGAGATTACTTATGATTCTCTAAATAAATGATCATGTTCTTGCCCTGCCTCCCTTCTGACAGAAAACATATTCAATATTTTTGTCATTAAGTATGATGTTAGCTGTAATGAGCTAGAGATGTTTTTTGTCATGTTGAGGAAATCTTTTGTTTTCCTAAGTTGCTGAGAATTTTTACCCTGAAATTAAGTTTTCTCCCAGGTTTGGTTGTTGTGTTTTGTTTTGTTCATTTTTTTGACATAATTGCATGGTTTCTTATCTTTGTTAATGTGGTAAATTATATTGATTGATTTTTTAAATATAAAACTACTTTGCATTATTAAGATAAGCTCCAAGTGGTCATAATGTATTTTTTTTTATATATTGCTAGATTTGACTTGCTATTTGTTAAGGATTTTTGTAGCTATGATCACATGGCGTATTGGTCTATATGAGGATAATTCTGGCCTAATAAAATGAATTAAGAAGCATCTTCTTTTTTGTCAGTATTATGGAAGAGTTTGTGTAGTATTATATCTTCTTAAAATTTTTGACGACTGAACCACATGAAGCCAACGACATCTAGATTTTCTTTGTGAGAAAAATTTTAACTACAAATTCAGTGCTATAAAGCTATTTGTGTTATCTGAGGGTAAGCTTTGTATCTCTTTGTTTTTGTCTTTCAAGGAATTTGTTTATTTCATCTTCTTACAATTGGCATAAACTTTTTGTAGCATTTTCTTATCTTTTTATCACTTGTAGGATTTGTACATACGTTCTCATCTTCAGATATTGGTAGCTTGCATTTTTTTTTTCTATTTCTAGATTAGTCTTGCTAAACATTAAGCAATTTTATTGATCTCTGTAAAGAACTAAATTTTAATTTAAAAAGTTTTTGTCCATAGTCTATTTAATTGATTACTGTACTTATCTCTATTCTTTCCTTTCTACTTCTTACTTTGAGCTTAATATGATATTCTTTTCCCTTAAGATACAAGCTTAAATCACTGACTTTAAACCATTTTATTTCCTTCTGTGAGTATATAGTTTTATCCTAAGCACTTTACCTGCATTTCACAAATTTTGGCATGTTGTGTTTTTGTTTTCATGCAGTCATTAAATTTCTTTGTCATTTTTTCATTGACCCATGAGATACGTAGAAGAGTGCTATTAATTTCCAAATTTGGAGGATTTTATAGATAACTTTCTGGGTTTCTTTTGTTTGTTTCTAATCTAATTCTGTTATGATTAGAGACTATAATTTGTATTATTTCAATATTTTGAAATGTTTAAATAAGACTATAATCTATTTGGCATATGCTCCATGTATGCTTTAAAAGTATGCATTTTCTGCAATTGTTTGGTAGAGTAATATATATATGTCAAGTAGGTCAATCTGGTTAATAATGTTATTTAATTATTCTATATCCTTACTAAATTTTGTCTACTTGTTCTATCAATTACTGAAAGAAGAGTATTGACATCTGCAACTTTAAATTTTAATTTGTCTATTTCTTCTTTCAATTCTGTCAACTATGTTTTTTTAAGCATTTTGAAACTGCATACACATTTAGGATTGTTATATCTTCTTGATGAGGTTCCTTCATTCTTAGGAAATGAGTCTATTATTGGTAATTTTTCTTGTCCTTAAATCTATTCTGTCTGATATTCACGTATCTATTGGTTACCGCATGCAGGTCTGTTCACTCTGGCTTGACTTAGAGGGAACACTAAAAACTCCCTGTCCTGTGAGAGTACTGGAAATTTTTGTCTTACAGCCCCAAGTAATGTTATTTCCTTGGAATCTGTTCTTATCTGGCCTTGTGTAGTTTGATCCTATGCATTTCCAAACTACAGTCAACCAATCTCAAGAGGTCCCTTATGCACATTTCAGGTACTTTTTCTCTGTGTAACTCTTTCCTCCCAGTACTGTGCCTCACAAATTCTAGATTCCTTGACCTTCTGAGCTCTGGTCTCTCAACTCTGCAAAATTGCTAGTTTCTGTTTGGGTTACCCCTCCCTGTACTGTAGTCCAGAAATTTTCTTGAGGCATAAAGTGCTCATCTCCTTCGCATTCAGAAATTTTGTACATATAAATATTGATACCTGCTGGTAAAGATAAATTATTTTTTAAATTACAATAAATAGTGTGTTTGAAGTTCAAAGGCATAGAAGTTTTTTGGGGGGGTTGTTTTTGTTTTGTGTTGTTTTTGTTTTGTTTTGTTTTGGTGAAGACAGATGAAAGAGTATGGGGGATAAGGATTCTTGTGAGAATTTCTGCCATAATATTGGAAACTCTCAGATCATTTTCTGAAACTTGGTTTCTTAGTTTTCTGATCAATTAGATTCACAAATAAGTGTTAACTTGCTTCAGTCACTAGACTAAGTAATGGTAAAAAAAACATTAATAAGGTACTTTTCCTGAAGTATATAGAGCAATGAATACTAACTTTCTTCCACTGATGGGGAAATTATGGCACAGAGAGTTAAAAGACTTGTAAAAAGTCACCCAGCCAATTAATCGTTAAGAGTCAGGAACAATCCCAGTCATTAATCTTTATCTCAGGGTTTAAAATACTTACTGGCTATAATCCACACACAAAAGTGTTTCAGAATATTTTATTTTACTGGAAGACTTGTTTTCATTCAAAAAAAAAAAAATTCCGGATTTTTTTATCTTCTTGACGCCAATGATTCTCTGCATCTAAAATTCATCCTTCAAGAGTATGACACATAGTTTTGAATTGCTAGTATACCCAATATCTTAATTGTTATTGTAAGTTTTTTTAAGTTACTCAAACCTTCCTAGGTCTCTCAATACTGTGAGAAAAGGAAATGTTAGCCTTAATATCTAAATTTCACAGGGTTACCTCTGAGACCTATTACAGGATCTCAGACCACCCTTGAGGTGCCTCCAAGTATTCTGAGAGTCCCAGGAGGCATCTCACGTGTATCAGCATCAGACTGTATCTGAGTACAGGACAAAAAACAGATACCACCTTGTTCTCCTGTTCCTGTCTGTCCTATGATTTTGAGTGAAATAATAGCACTACCATCTCTCCAAATTTACTTCATACACACACACATGCACACACACTTCTTATTGTGTATTAACTCATGAAAATAGCCCTCTTGGGAGGAGAAGATCTTTACATTCACTTTAATTGAACACTCTGCTACAAATACTTTAAATCAATGGCTTAAAGCCTATCCCTTTCACCTAGTATAATCCCATTAGTGACAGAGTTTCACTATGGAATCAATTCTCAAGTAGGCAAGCATATTTTTTGAAACCCAACACCCAATTTAAACCTTCTTCTCAGAGATTCTGATATTTCTTCTACTTCACTCTCCATCCCCAACATTGAGAATAGCTGCTCTAAATGAATGTCATGACTAAGGACTAAACCCAAAATACAGTCTATTGCAGGGAAAAGCAATTAGAAGCAATCAGGAGGGAGACATACTTGGATTTATAGCAATGAGAGACAGAATCCAGCACAAACTAAAAGATTCAGGCTTAGTAAAAATGTCACTCCCACCTAGTCAAACCTTAATGACTCTGGAAAGATTAGATTGAGTTAATTATTTATAAAATAGTCAAATTATAAATTATTTTACAATGAAGTAACGTATAGATTATGTCACTTATTAAATGATTAAAAGAAGTTTGTTTTGGAAATACAATAACTTTCTTCCTTGTGAGTCAGGATTTGCCTAGAAATCTGACTACCATAATTAATAATTTTTAAAAGTAATTGGAATGTTTTAATCATTATAAGTTTTCTAAATATCTATCTGTGATTATAAATATTTTAAATTTTTCATTATGTTTGAATTTCATACATCACTTATTTTCAGGCTGATCCAATCAATGTTTTTAAACGCAGATGCCTTTAATCAACTTAAAGTCTTAGAATAACATTTGATTGTCCTTCAAAAATAAACTACATATGTACTAATCTTTAATTTTCAAATATGCAAATAGGTAAATTTATTTCATGAATTACTAGTAATCTGTCTTTAATTGTAATATGTATTCATGAAAAATATGTTAAGGCATTCTTAAATAAATGCCCTTTCTATCCAACCCTTTAAATATAATTTTACTGAAATTCCTATAGTAGATCAGGTAATTTCTAGTGTCCTATTATAACATTTGATCTTACCATTTATATTATTTATGTAAATAAAGGCAATGATTGGTATTCACAATGGCCACTCTGTTTAGTAAACCAGAAATGGACATATTCCATGTGAACTTACTTTATTGCTGTAAAAGAGCAATGCTTCCATATACTATGAATAACCAGTTTACTTGATTATTTAAAAAATACAGAATTGGTCACCACTAATTAAAGAAGCTATATTCCCATAGGCTTCAGATCATTAAAAAATATATATTTCATATATATATTCCCTGGGATTTTTTAACTATTCAATCCTGGAAGTATTCAGTATGCCTACCCAGTGCCTAAAGACTGCTGCTCAAAGTTAGACTTTATAGAAGAATGTGCTGCACATCAAATAACTGAGAGTGTAAACAGACTTAGGAAGGGCAGATACACAGAATCTAGAGGCAGCACAATAGGCCAACCTTCTCATCAACCTCTCTCCCTCCCTTTTTTTCACCATGTAAAGTCCAGACAAGTAAAAGCATTATCAGAAGAAATATTAAATGAAAACTGACCCTCGGTAATTGTGGATTTTCAGTGCCTAGTTGCCCACCCATCCCTTCTCATGCTTCAAAGAACAAAGGGGAAGGGATACAGAATAGAGGAGCAAGGAAGAAATAAAAAGAGAAGTTATTTACCAGCCCTTTGAGATCTGGTTACCAGCCTGAAAAACAAGAACAGATGTATTTGCATGATTATAAAATAAAATGCCTTTCAAATAACTTAATCTTCGGGAATATTATAGTGTATACATTTGTTTTTAATTCCACAGGGACAGGCAACAGACTGTGGGATCCTTTGTTTACCCCTGGGTATAGGGACAGAAGATTCTTAGATACATCTCTGAATTCATGCTAGTGAAAAACACGTGTGGGAACCAAGAGGATTACAGTATTATCCTGCCATTGTTTTCTGCACTACATCCACTTCAGTCTTCAGGAAAATGAAAACAGAAACAGGCCCAGGAGATTATAAACAGGCTGTTGCCGATGAAGTCTGCTCTTCCCATGTTGATGCAGCCCAGAACGCAGGTTTGTTTCTTGAGGTTCTATCAAAAACCCTCTCTGAATGTGAAAAGAATTAGTGGAGGTGAAATCACCCAAAAGGCAATTACTGTCTTTTTCCCCCCAAGGAGTAGATTTCAGCCAAGCAGACATAAAAAATATAAAGTTTCTGTCATAGCTGAAGAGTTCAAAGCCAAGAGGCAAAGCACATGGGCTTTGGAAATGTTCGTGGTTAGTGGTAGGTAATAAAGAATATAAACGCAGCAGCTCAGACTAAATATAAATTTAGAGGAAAAGGGAAGAACGGTGTATGCTGCTCCCCCATGCTGTGCTTCCCTGGGACGGACACAGACTTCATTTTCCATTTGGCACAGAAAAAGCCTGGACCCACCCCAGCTGGATCGTTCAAAGAGCCTTCAAAGTGTTGTGTCCACGGGGCCCACTTTTGCTCTGAACTGGATGACCCTGGGCCAGCTGTCAAAAGGCTGAGCTTCATCGGGTAGCACCAGGCCATCGGGGTCAGATATAAAAGAAAGCTGACTGGCTCATAGGGTTACAATAACGTCAGGCAAGGTCAGCTCACTTTTTCCATTCCAAGCCAGGGCTGGCCTGTAATGATGATACGGTAATATTAATAACAACAGGGACAACCAATACCTTTCAGGGAATGGTTTCAAAATGCTTTCCAAGGAAAGGCCGGTTATTAATTCCCCAAATGACAGATAAGAAAACTCAAGCAGAGAAAAGAAAAATGATTAGACTCAGAGCACACATGTGAGTCAGGATACAGATGACAGAAAGCACCAAAGCCGCCTTCCCAGATCAGGTTCTGGTCCTCAGAGTATTATTTGACTCCACTGGAGCCTACCTCCGCAACACATTGCTCCGTGCTCTGGAGCTACGGAGACTGGTGAACCCCTCTGCATTCAATGTATTGTTTTAAAGCCTTCCTGACCCATTAACTTACTTCATCATTTAAACAGGTTATCAGGAGGGAGGGGAAAAAGGAGGGGGAAAAAAGTAAACAAATAAAATGAAAATAAATAAATAAATATTAAAAATAAAAAAATAAATAGGTATAGTAGTCATCTTTACTATTTCTGTTGTTCTTTTTTTTTAACATATATTAAGAATCTGCTGCATATGCAAAATAAGAACCAAACAAAATGCAGAATTATATGGACAGAAATGTTTACTTCTAACAGCACAAGAACGTTTTTTAATATTTCCGTATAGACATGCTCATCCCTAAGGCGTACTTTCTCAGTTTCCCTTGAGTAAGTAATTCAAACAATAACTAAAATTACATTTGCTCGTGATTTATTTAAAATAAAATCAAGCTTCCAAACTTTTCTCTCAAATTTGTCAGATATTATTACTCTTCTCCATTTATAGTCTGCAATGATTTGGGAATCACAAAAATCTCTGGGCCTTCTTTTTAAACAAACAGTCGATACACACTGACTAAACACTTACTAATGTTATTAAAGAGGCAGTATAACCTTGCGAATAGGATTAGGGGCTTTAGGGCAAATGTCCACTCTTTTTAAACTATGAGACCTTGGCCCTTAACTTCCCCACCCAGCTTTCTCTGTAAAATGGGAATGAGAAGAGTCACTTACCTCCTATGGCTGTTGAGAGGATGAATGAGCCAACATATGCAGAGGGCTTGCAATGGTACCTACTGCATAGTAAGCAACTACATGCATGTTAGTACACAACAGAGCTTTCATTTTATAGTAGAAAAGTTCTATGCAATGATTCCTGCCTGTAGGGAACAATAACAAAATAAATGGAAAACAAAGTATGCATTTGGCATAGTGTTTGGCTGAATGACAATACATATGGAAGACAGCTAAGCAGAATAGTAGTTTTAGTAATCAAGGAAGACTTCCTGAAGGAAAAGAATAAGGTTTTCATCAAAATGGGAAAAATATTCCCTTTACTTTCTTTGTCATTCATAGTCTTCTCTTACATTTATATACCCATTAGAGTAGTATTTCTGTAGTGAAAGGCTGCATTCAGAAATAATTAAACCTGTCTAGCAATAGGAAAAATACCACAAAACAATTAAGAGACAATCCAAAGGTTGTAACTGATAAAAGATGGTTCCTAGATCTCAGGTAGCTCCTATATTTTAGGATAAGGATGATGGTAACAAAGAAATAGAATCTGCTTTCTTATGACTGCACCTTAAAACAACCTGGTGTTCTGCTTTATTAACTAATGCCCAATTCATCCTATTGAATTCTTATCTAAGGTCTCCTTTTCATTCATCAAGTGTTTTTTTTCATACAACCTTTGAAGCATTGCTTGTTGAAGTGTTCAAATTTGGAACTAAATAAGATACATTCTTTGTCCTCAAAGTGCACCTAAACCAGTATATTTTAATTAATATGTTAATTTATCTAATCATAAACTTTAATCTAATACTTTTTAAAGTTAAAAAATTCAAAAAGTGGGGAGATTAATAATATAATCATAAATTTATCACATAAGGATAATCACTCTGCATATTTCTTTCTGGTCTTTTTCACAGGACAAATAAAAAATGCACATGCAAATAATTATGACTTTACCACATGTGCAGTTTTTAAATAAGCCTTTTTCATCTACATCATAAAACATTTTTCAAGCCATTAAAATTTTCTCTAAATGCATCATTTTTAATGTTGTATAATATTCCATTATCTAAATGGTCTATGAAATAATCCTATTAACATTATCTAAAGCTAAAAGTAAACCTTTGACTAACTGAAGACATTGTAAATAGCTGTATATCCACAGAAATGATGTGCTGGATGAAAGGAATTAATCTTCTGAAAAACACACCACCTTTATAAAGCCAATTGCCATGACCTGCAGAGCATGGGCTATGCTAAAATAAAGCAGCCCTCAGAGGTAACTAGGACCTCTCGCACACTCCATGCCTCCTTCTGCTACACTTCCATTCTGCAGCCTTTTCTTCCGAGGCTGGAGAGCTTTACTGGTCAGGCAGCTTTCCCATCTTCTGGACTTCTGGCAGAGAGAAGACCAGATACAAGTGAGCAGCTGGGAAAAGCGAACTAAATTAGAACTAAAGTTCTCTTAATAATTTCACAACTTCTTTAACATAAACTAGTTAAAAATATAAGCAATACACAGTGTGACTGCTGGTTGTATACAATATCTTAACTTATGTAACTCAAGGCATTCTTATTTGTTTGCTTTTAGGATCACTTCCTTTCAGGGATGTGGAATTAAGTGGTTATACAAAATCAGCTGTCAAACTGGGCACTGCAGTCACATTTCCATGCCTAAGAAGGCAGGCACATTTCTAAAAAGAAGGAATATGAGAAACTTTCTCTACAACTAATAAAACTAACATGAGTTTAAATTCAATAAAATTTCACAGCAGCATAGTTTGTGTACCTCTCATAAGAAAGCAACTGGTCATGCTGTCTTCATATGGCATTTTCATTTCTAGACCATAGTCATAAGGCGATCTGAACTTCTTCACATTTGAAAAATTAAATTTTATTGAGACATATTAACTATGTATTTTATTTTTAGAAAAAGGGGGAGCTTTGCATTATTTTTTCCCTAAGTATCCAGTGTCTCACTATAAGTAAACCACACTACACAGAATCTAAAGCCTCCTGAAAGGTTACTCATAGCCAAATATCCATTTTACGATTTTCTAATTGGCTTCCATTGGAAAATCAAATGAAGATTGCAGAAGAAAATTATAAAGAAATAATAAAGTTACAAATAAGAATTTCCTCATATCAGATTTCTACTGCCATAATAATGCTAAAAAAAGAATTACCCCAAAACTCAGTGGCTTAAAACAGTATGCATCTGTTTTGCTTGTACGTCTCTAGGTAGGCGACCTTGGTGGCTCAGCTGGGCTTAGCTGGATGGTTCTGGCTAGAGTTCACCCAGCTGTTGCTGATGAGGATGGCATCCGCCAGGACAGCTGGGACGATTTGGCTTTCCTTCCCACGTCTCGTCTCACCTTCCAGCAGGCTAGCCCAGGCATGTTTTCATGGCAATTTCAGAGGAACAAGAGGCAAGAAGAAACACAAGAGATTTTTTCAGCCTGTGTTTGTTCCACCTTTGCTAACTGACACTTTCTTAGCCAAAGCAAGTTGCGAGTCTAGCTCAGACTCTACCCCTTTAGTGAGAAAAGCTGCAAAGTCACATGACCAAAGGTGTAGTAACAGAAAAGAGTGAAGAATTAAAATCATTAATGCAACCTGTACTATCACAACCGTATATTTTTAAAGGACAATGACAACAATAATAAAATAAAATGGGATAATTCAAATTTTTGAGAGGTAAATCGGTTTAATACTCTAAAGTACTATACAAAAATGAAAATATGACCTTAAATTAATAGAGTAAAACAGATGTTGAAAAATCAAGAGGCTTTCTTCAAAACCTTTCCTCATACCCTATGGCAGGACTGCATACTTCTTGATTTCTTAGCCCCTTTTGCCTAATGGCTGATGGAAGAGGCTTATATTTAGAAAAGTTGATATAAATAAAGAAAGAAGAAAACAAAATAAAACAGAATTAGTAATTTTAGCTTAATTATAATCCTTAACAAGCCATAAAGGTACATTTTATCTCTGGATGAAAAATGAAAATTTTCCAAAGCCCACCAGTCAGATTGAGTAGAACTGAGATTCAGATACAGGACCTTATGAGGATGTATGGCATGATGACTTTAGTAATGAACAATATAGTATTGTATACTGTATTTGAAAGTCATTAGGAGAATAGACCTTAAAAGTTCTCATCACAAGGAAAAAAATGTGTAACTATGTGTGGTGATAGATTACTAAACCTATATATTGATTATTTTGCAGTGTATATATATATATATGTGTATGTATGTATATATATATATACATACATACACATATATATATATACATATCTCATACCTAAAACTGACACAGCATTATATCTCAATTTAAAAAAGAAAAAAGAAAGAAAGAAAGAAAGAAAAAAAGAAAGAAAGAAAGAAAGAAAGAAAGAAAGAAAGAAAGAAAGAAAGAAAGAAAGAAAGAAAAAGAAATATGGGATTAACAAAAGCATATATTGTTTCCATGTTACATCAGAAACAAGTACTTGAAATTGAAAACTGTTTCTTCTGCCTAAAATACTTTTCCCTTCCTCACCACCTAGTTAACTCTTCACTTTCTTGAATTTCTTCAGTTCAAAGTTCACTTATCTGGAGAAACCATCTTGATCACCCTTCTCATACTCCTTTCTTTGAGCCACGTACTTCTACCAATAGTGATCGTGGTTTCATATTTGTTCATAAAATTTTTTGATTGCATCTTTCTCTCTCATGAGACTGTCAAATTCATGGAGGCAGAGACCTTTTCTGGTTTCATTTGGTTCTATCTTTGGACCCAATATAGTTGCTGGCATATAATATCTCCCAGTATATAGCCAATAAATGAAGTAATAGAAAAAAATAAATAAATGTGAAAGCATGGTTATTGGAAAGATGTAATAGTCTTATGGATAAGAGAGAACATACATGGCTGATGAAATCTAAAAAGGTCTTCGAAGTGAAGTTTTAGGTAATACACTTCTAAATGAAGAGACTAAATCTAATATGCACCTTTTAATGTTCCTATGTTGAAGGTTAAATATATGTATATATTGACACATGGAAACAACTGTATTTTATGTTTTTATTAGTGAGAACCAGAGAAAGTCAATGTGAGAAATTTTTCAAATAAATGCAGTTCCTCTCATAGGATAAGACCCTTTTCCCCTCAGCGTTTTCAATAGGAGAGAAGAATGAAAGGATGAATATATATTTCATATCTGATTCATAGTCAGCTAAAGCAAAATTGAAAGCTTCACGAGGTACTTTGCAAGTATCTAATATTTTCTGGAGACAATTTAGAATTGCATGCATTCTCTCCTCACCACTTACTTGCTGGTGTTACAGTCACTTCTGTAAGGGACAGGACTCACCTATTGCCACCTTGATTGCCAGGGAATTTTATTTTTTCTGGTTGCAAACCAAAAACATAAAAGGGCTACTTTTACCTATCCCAAAAGAATGTACCTAAGATTGGGATATTTTAGTGAAATTGATAATAGAATTGGAAATTGCTTCAGAAAGGAAACTTTAGTGCCTGCCTGTCATGGCTACACATGGAATGACATGTACTCCATAGTATCGAAGGCCCCGATAAATACTTTATGTACAGGGACATGCACAGAATACATCTTGGCTATATACAGCCCAGAGAGATTGACCATCACCCTTATAAAATTCTCAGAATATCAGAATTTATGATACTAGATTAAATGCTACAATTCTCAACACAAATGGAAAAGAAAGGCTTTTCTATGGTAGACCCAGAAGCATCATGATTAAAATTTTAAGACCAGACTGCAGAAGTACAGTCAACACAAAAGCAAAACTGAGCTGAGGCATAAGGGTAGCCACATCATTTGCTTCAATTTATCTTGGCTGCAACGTTGCCACCCTAACTTATTGAATCATTGCTTTTTGTTAGGGTAAATTCACATGTGCTTCTGTATAATTCATATAAGAAAAAAAGGTCGAGATGGACTTTTTTCTTTCATGTGTACTTAGAATTATCCAAAAAATATATAGTTATGAGGAAGACACAATGCTTAATATCTGGTAAATACTGAAGTAATGATTCAATTTGAGCTTGGAAAATGAGTGAAAGAAAGAGATAGAGAAAAGGGGAAGGAAGGACAAAAGGGGAAGAAGGAGGAAAATTTTTTTTAAAAAAGGAAGATGAAGGAGAAGGAAGGGAAGAAAAAGAAAAATCTGTATATATGATACTTGTACATTTCCTACAATAAACACTGTTGTTGCAGCAAAAAAATCTTACTGGTATTATTTTCTATTGGCAAACTCCACTGGAATGTATCCTTTGTCCAAAATATTGTATATCACTTAAATTTTGATATAAACGTTACAATATTTTGATAAAATATTTTCACGACCCAATCCTACTTTAATTTATTCAACCACTCTGAATAACACAGACTTGTGATAGGTTTTGAATTTAGAAATTACCAATATTTGATTTGTGAGCTCAAGAAATTGAAGTTAAAGAAGACACATACATAAACATTTGTATTAAAAGACTAATATCGCAAAACAAATAAGATGTTATTGTGGCACAAGAGAAGAAATTATCAAGTCCCTTGGGAAAAGAATGGGGAAAAACAGATGTGAATTTTTCACAGAAGAGATGATGCTTGACCTAGGTCCTAAAGAATCACTAGAAATTGAAAAGACAGATGACAGAGGGAAAGCATTAGGAAGCTGAGGAAATAAATGCAAAAGCATGACCACCTGAAGTAGCAAGTTGCACCCAGGGACCTATGATGGAAGCAGTGTTGGTACACAGAAGAAAATGAAAGATGAGTTGGGTGAGTAGACAAAGACCAAGTCATAGAAGACATTGGATGGCATGCATGAATGATATTGATTTATTTTGTAGACAGTGAATTTGAAGCATAGAAATAAAATAATGCTTTTTTTTTTTTAACTTAACTACCAACAATGTGGAAGACAGACCTGGAGAAACCACAGGGAGAAAGATCAATGAGAAAATCCTTAAAATAGTCCACAAGAGAAACATGATGAAAACTTGAAATAGGGCATAGTGCTGGAATGGGAGAAGAGTTGACAGATTGAGAGATGTTAAGTAAGGAGAACTTATAATATCTAGTGACCAGATGGGCATGAGAGATTAGGTATTGGCAGAAAGAAAGATGTTTGTAATTATGTCCAGATTTTTGACATATATACATATATATATATATATATATGCAAAAGCAACTCTAGGGAGAAAGACAATAATTTTGCTTTTAAATGTGTCAAATTTTCCTATGGGATATCTTGTTAGTAATTAAAAGCAGGGAGCCAAAAAAAAAAAAAAGTGTAGAAAAGAAGCCTGGACTGGAGAGGTCGATTTGAAGTCATCAGCATCCAGGATCCAATGAGCAGTGAAAAGTCACCTGGGGGGCGAGGGGGACACATGAAATTGAAAAGAGAGAGCAGCTAAGTGTAAACCAAGGAAATGCCGACAGTTAATGGATAAATAAAGGAAGAAGAGATTAAGAATATGAGAAAGAGCAACTGAGATGTAAAAGGGAATCAGGAAAATTGAGTACAAGAAAGACTTCTATGGAAAGGTAGTAGTCACTAATAAAGCCACGGAATTTACATGGTTAGCTTTATGTACTACAGATATTGTTTTGTTGTTTTGAATTATTATTTACAAACTGAATTAAAGGCTACTTCAGAATCTAAGCTGTTGTTCGTTATACTAACCATTCCCTCTTGGTTAAATTGAAGTAAACACTTTGAGGAACAGTTTCTTATTCATGTTTCTATACCTAGCAGTACCTGCCACAGAACAAAACACATAGAAAATAACTACATAATATTTGAATACAATTATTGCTTAAGAAAGTAAACAATAGATTCTCATATTTTAGTGAACTTGCATCTTCATTCTGACAATGAATGTGTTTTTTGAATTATATAAAATTTTAATATGTAAATGTCCCTGTGGGTTGAGGGGAGAAGGAGAGAGAGAAAAGGAGAAAAAAAAATTCCGGGTTTGAAGACACTAATTCACTCATTCTGTGTGAATCATATTCTACCATATCTAGCAGGGAAAAGTACTCTGACAGGTCTGGGCAAGTTGAATTTGCTTAGCTTCCTCTCATCTAATAACTTGCTTCAACTAATCTATATTTTTGCCCTTTCAAGTCTACCTCCATCCCTTATCAGTTTTAGTTGCATATCCAGTCTCCAATTTGCTTCTTTGGCAGAGCGAGATGCTAAACTTGGCATTTATGCATTTTTTATTCACTCAAAATAATAAAAAAGGTAATTTCTCTTACAATTTGTGTCTTGTGAAAATAAAAACCAATCGCATTGGTCATCAGTCTTGCTAAGTTTGGTAGAGATGAGTTTCAGTGTTATTAGATGTTA